TTTAAAATTAATTAAATTATCTAAATTCTTCGTAATACTTGTCCTACACTTGACATTTATTTAAATGAATTAATGTGAATTTAAATAGTAAACTAGAGGATATCCCGAAGTACTCCCGGGTTTTGATATTAGATGATACTATAAAATACATCATATCATTAATGTTATTAAGAATTTGGTGCTCATGAATCTCGCCTAAGATTAATTTTTACTCCTAATTTTTGTTTTCAAAAACTTGTGAAGAAGAAAAAATTGAAGTCGAGAACCACGTGCTAAAATTATGAATAAAGATTACGAATAAAGCTATGGAAACTGAAGCTTTATTGATTATGAATAAAGATTACACCAATGGTTCCATATCCAAAGAGAGATTACAATGTCTCTCCATAAKAAAAACATATGTTCGTTCCCAAATACCTAAAACAATTCACCACCTCTCTCGCTTTCTCTCAGTACTGCTTCTATTTATACTATTGACAAGACAATTGTAGAGTAAAAGGAATCAACTATCTTCACTCCTCATGTGAGCTTCACGTGCACTTATATTAGTCAATCTTCTTTTGCTTTTTAATGTAAGCTCTTTCATGCATATCACATCTCGACGGCACATCTCCTCCTATGTGTGGTCTCTAATTTATGGTAAAACCTATTTCTCGAGTTTATTTTTCAAAGATACCACTTTACCCTCTGTGAATGAGCTCTGAACGCAATTGCTTAACCCTCTGTTTCTTCCATATTCAGAATTATCCATTACAAAAGAATCCTCTTGAGCTTTCATTAGGCATAGTCTAAGGTCTCTCTGATTTCCCGCTATTACAACCGAATTCCTTATCTTCCAAACTGTCCATAACACCCATGGATTGAGCTTTTCATACCTTCTGGAAATTCACTCTCCTCCATTCCAAATCTACCACTCTTTGTGTAGAATATCTAAGGGTCTTTGTCAATGAAAATTAAACCATAAAAAAAAACCATATGTATTTTATTTCAATTTGTTTGGCGCCATCTTCGGCTTGACAATTATTAACTCATTAGTATAACTCCCTCCCTGGTACAAACCACAAAAGCATAGATAAACCATATTTTAACCTACAAAGTGAGAACAAATGATCTTATTAGAAATTCATTTTTCTTGCAAATCAATCGTAGCAGCAATTGAGTGGAGATAAGAAACCGAGAGATCAAAAGAACAACTGTAATATGAAGGAGAATATTGGTTGTGAAACCTGTTGACAGAGAAAGACTCTTCTGGACATTTTGAGATTTCAGGTTTTTTAAGTTAACCCTTAAAAGCTAAATTCCTTTCCATAAAATCATTTCGCTATATTTCTGAAAATTCGATGAGTTTTTCTAATGTTTAGTGTGGGAAATTAAATATATATTTTTTCTCTTAACTCACCAGAAACCAAACCCCGCTGCGATCCGACATAAGGTTCTTAGATATCGTAGTCTAATTTATCAACTATTTATGCACTTGTTAAAATCTTTGAATAATAAAATCAGGAAACTGGAATATTGAAAGAGATAACTCATTGTAAGAACTAAGAAGCTTACTCCATTTAAGATGCTTTTTTCTCTTGTCTTCTTAGTGTTCCAGAGAAACCCTTTGAGCTTTCGCTCCTCTATCCCCTAAAGCAATTTATTTATTTTTTCGGTGAAGGAACTCTCTCCTCAAACTCTTTCACAGGTTTTTGTTGTTATGCCTCATCAATTATCTTCAGAAGCTTAAGCTTTCTCTGATTGCATCACGTTCCTTCAAAAGGAGAGAAATAATACAGTTAATTAGATAGTGCCAATAAATAAGAACAACATGCAAAACTTTGTGCGAGATCCCTAAGAACTGTTTGCAACACAACTGAATTAAGGAAAACATAGTAAGGTATGATGAGACAGTTTTTGAAGCTGCAGAGGACAATTTAACCCATAAAAAAATTATGTATTTTTGGAGATCACTATGAAGCCAACTTTATATCCAAGTGAAAAGAGACATACATGCGCTACAAAAGCACTAAACCAAAAACATAATCACATATGCAAGCTTCCTAAAATCATGAGTTTTGAATATGAATTGAGAAACAGATTAATCAAAACGTTGTAATCGAAATGAGCAGCACTAGAAATCTATCCAGAAAAACTCAGACAATGTTTCTTTGTCTCTACACGAAAACGAAGCTTGTACCAAATATATAGGCTATGGAGCGGAGGGTCTTAGAGGAGTGGGTAGTGGCCATTAAAACCACTGAATTGCAACGATTCTAAGAGAAATAAAGAAGACGAAGTGATGAAGGAGTAACAGTGGTCGAATTTATGAAGTGTGGGAAGAGGAATCGTAACAGATTGGTAACGGACTTTGATTTTTGTTTAGGGTTGGGAAGAGTAATCGTAGTGAGGTGATGTGAAGAAGACGAAAGAGAGGAGTTGGGCTTCACGTGGTAGTTCTAAGTTTTGTTGTTATGTGGGCCTTCTCATGTTAGTATAATTTTGAGGGCCCAAGACTTGAGATTAAGTTATATTATGCATTTTAAATTGGCTGATTATT